CTGACATTGTATCTTGGGCATCCGTTTTCGGTGGCTTTTCTGCATTTGTTTACTAGGTGTAGAGAGAATCTCACTCGTAGCAGAGCATGGTCCGTGTCCACCGTTGTTGACCAGTAGAAGGCAGTCTTCAATGGATCCTCGCCAGCGGTGGCTGATGGCAATGTGGTCATTTAGAGTCCAGCGCTGTGAAGCAGTTAGCGGTCTCCATATAAGACGGTGGCGTTTTATGTGCTTGACAGAAACAATCCGTGGTCAGCACAAAGTCGGAGTAGGCGTTCTCCGTTGTCAGTCCTGTTGGCTGGGATTGCATGTGAACCTCCAAGTATGAACTAGGCGTTCTCCGTTGTCAGTCCTGTTGGCTGGGATTGCATGTGAACCTCCAAGTAGCCTTCTATGATTCGTATACAGATCCCACTTGAGCATTGCGGTTTCCAGTGACTACCACAATGTTCGTTGATCGAGCACTTTGGAGCAGTTGAGCGAGGTCCTTGTAGAATTCATCCTTTATTTCTGGTGAACTGCAATCTGTTGGTGCATAGGCAGATAGGACGAATAAGCATCGACGCTTCGTCCTGTAGCTGTTGACGCGTACTGAACCATTCAGACGTACGGCGCAAAGTCGGCTGTTAACCGGGATCAAATCGAGAAGTGAACGCTCGGCCTTGACACTTAGCACAGTTCCAACACCAGCAACACCGCGAGCTTCCGATGACGAATCGCCTGACACACGGAGAATGAAGTGTGAGGATGAGACTGGATCTGGAGAACGGAGGGAGATGACTGAATTAGGGACTTGTATGAGTGTTTCGGAGAATATTCGGGATTGAGATGAAGGACCAGACAGATGGGAAAGATGGTTTTCCAAATGGGTACCTAAGACTTCAGGGCACGGCATACTTCGCGGTAGTTCACGCCGACGAAAGAGTTTTTCTTTGGGAACCCTAATCGGAGCCTTTGACTCAAAAGTCTGACCCATAACGTAGTGGGGCGTAAATCCAACGCGGGAGCGTGAACGAAGCACCCGCGTGGGAGCTTCTAGAGACCTGTCGCACAACGCATTCGGGTTTCGATTAATTGTGTGGTTCCCTGGTGCGTTGGTTGACGGTCCGCTTTTCCGGATCGGCCCTTAGTCTTATGCACTAAATGAGACAAGCGGAACTTGGACGATACAGCACCTTATGGTCTGAGGGCTGCCCAGCCTGGGCGGGTGGTAGCTGTCCAATGAAATGCGAAGGCTTTTCCCACTGTCAAGAGGTAGCCCCAGGTGCCCCGCTCCTACGTCCATCTAGCGGGGTTTTTGACCGGTAAACTGCCCCTCGCCGTGTTTATTTGCTGGAGTGACCTCTCCAGGGGCGGGTGTGGG